AGTTATATAAATAAATATTAAATTACTTAATATTTTTATCGTTTGCTCCATTAAATATGGACGCTTTTAGTGCCCAATAGAATCGGACCTTTTACACGGGCTTAAGCAACCCTTTCACCGATTCACTGAAGTCACTGATGTAAATATTTAATATGGATTTGTACCCTTACCTGACGTCCCCAGACCCCGGGGTGATGTGAGGGGTAAACGGAGATAATTGCTAAACTTTCAAATTTTACTTGCATAATTTTAATAAAATTATAGACGGCAGGGGATGTTAGAAATGTGGACTAATAACCCCATTGGTAGCATTGTACTATGCCAAATTGACGACGACAGTTTCCATGAGGCTTCCACGGAAACGGTTGTGAAAAACTCCTGGCGAAAGTGCCACAATGGGCTAACTGACCTGAACTCATATTCATCTTATCATCCACTGATGCCCCGCCAGCGTAAACCGTTAGCTCAGGACGATGTACAATTCCATTATCATCCACAAAATATGTATTATAGGTCCCATTACTAACAATCTAGGATACTTGTCCAGCAGGTCCATGTCATCTCCCCTGGAAACTACCGTTGTTAATTCGACATGATGAGCTAACTGACCTGACTTTATCCTCATCCTGCCATTCTCCATTATCCGCCAGCGTATACTGTTAGCGCCGGATACAGCCATTAAACAAATATATAATCTTCTGGAGATCAAAATCCATAATTAAATATTTTTTCAAATAAATACTCTTTAATGAAGGTAGTTAATATGAGATTAAAGAGAAATATTTTGATTAAAAATTTATTTAATTTATATTAATGAATGCTAATTAGTACAGATGAGGATTTTTGGTAATTGATATTAACTCCATGGCAATATTATTTGCTGATATATAATTCTATAATTCACCATGATGGGCTTAGCGGCATGTTCTTATCGTTTACCAAGGGTCCTCGAAAGATCCCTGGTGAGATTAGCATTCAATCATTGTCATCAAAGGAACTCTAATTTAGTTTCTTATATGCAACTATAACTTTTTTATATTCTCTAAATGTATTCCTATTATGACAGCAACATGGTACATGATACGACATAGTACATGTTTCCAATATGTCTGATAAAAATAAAACTAAATCCAGTAAAAGATCGAATGTATCTTTATTTACGAACCCAATATCTCCACACACCTACACGGTATGAATTCAGATAGAAAAGTTTTATATGAACTAGAAAGAGCATACAGAATATGTACCGAAAAGTAATACTTAAAAAATTTTAACAACGGCGTTGGTGGTTAGCGATTTAACACACCGCCTTACTTACGATGATCGCGGGTTCGATTCCACACAACTACAAACATTTGTATGAGTATGATTCATTTATCTAAATATTTTCAATGCATATTATGTATGTATTTATAAAAAATATAAATATTTGTATCCGTGGTTGTATGTATTACAAGACAAACAAACTTATTAGCTTGATGAAATGTGCTGTCTAAATTGACTGGGGCTATTATTACTTACTAATAATCTAGATTCCATGCTCTAATATTGGGATAGGCAGCACGTGATAGTTCCAGAGACTATCAAAAGTGTAACAATATAAAAGTTACTAATGTAACATCCCACAATTAGGAAACGATAACATTCGAGTACAAACGCATGCTATTAATCATTTAGCCCCAACATGTAACGCCCCCATCGACGTTAGGTTAAGGTGTGTAACATCACCTTAGTGCCCTTTACGAAGCTGATGATTAATAACATTTTGTAGTAGACGATTTAAAGGCAATCGTTTGTTCGAAGTGCTTTGTGAATGACTATGACCATAGATAAAAATGGAAGTGGTGAGAATCGGGAATACAAAATCCCATCGATATGCCTACTAAATATTTGTAAAGGTGTTAGGTATGTTAGTAGGGGCAGTATTTATACTCGGTTTGTTGTATATATAGATAGTAAAATAAATGAGAAATAACAGACTTAAACAAGTATAAACATTAGTAAAAAAACAATTAAGAATTAGGAGCACAAGAAAATTAGTATGTCTGCTGAAGAAGTCATTTTGTAGTCATTTTTATTTTCCCGCGCAAACGTAATACGCCACAGATGCACACTATTGCACGGCGCGCAGCCGCAGTAGCATGACGAGCGCGTCATGGCTGTATGCAATATTACTACGGCGTGTGATTATTAACAAAATTTGTTTGTTCATATTGTTTGTCAAAGGTTTTAATTTAATATATTTTTTATTTAGCCCCTTTTTAACTATACTCAAAAGATACTGAATCTATAAATATGTTGTATGAAGTTAAAGTTTTCGTCTATTTTTTCGATTCCTTCTAAACCACGCACGAATTTTGATATTATTCATTAGGGTCTAGCAGTTTACTCCACTGTCTTACTTTCCGATGATCGCGGATTGAATTCCTGCTGAATACAAATAAAAAGTATTTACGTTTATACGGTAGAGAAAAATATTAATACAAAAAAATTACTTGCATAAACGAAAATGTCCTACATGTTAAAATTATTGCTTAATTTGTATTTATCTATATATTTACTAGAATAATGTATATTTAGAACTAAGCTAAAGTTTGAAACTGGATGATGTTGTGATTTGTCAAAAAATAGTCTACTTATTATTACTGTTCTTGTTATTCGACTGGCGTACATTCTATGCTGTAAAGTAGATGCATTGAGCTCACACAATAGCCATCTCCCTAGTTCAACATTATACTATCGATTGTACCAATACCAAATTGTATGTATTCATGCGATATAAAAAAAATCCCTTCGCGGCACGGCTTAATGGCAGTATGTCATAGAATTTTGTACGAAATAATCAAGAGATATTCGTTCGAAATTATAGCGTAGGGACGAAATTAGGGGGTTGTGGCGATTTATCAAAGATGTCGTCACCGTTTTATAATTGAATTTTACGATGACAAGTTGAACTGGGAATAATAATCATAAGTTAGATTTTTTTTTAATCTGTAGAATCTAGATCTATTCAAAATATAACTTTATTTTCAGAGGTTTAATAGTATGTTAGGTTGCCTCTGCGATATGCGAGTCTAAGAGACTTAGTAGATACGATCTCCTTATTATTGTCGTACAAGTTTGTACGAAATTTTTAGTATTTTTTCACTGCAATCATAATTTCTTTTAGATAGCATGAATCAATATTTAGTGTTACTCTACATTATACCATTGCTTTCCATTAATTAGCTTCCATGTATACATTTCATGGTTTCTTTATAGGGAGTTTTACGTATAATAAAATATAATGGTAACTATAATTAAGTAATTGAGGGTTGTGGTGGTCCAGCTGTTTAGCACACCGCCTTACTTCCGATGGTCGCGGTTCGACTCTCACACGATGCACATTGAATAAATACATAATATGATATAAATCAAGTATTTCTAACAGATTTTTAGCCATAGACTAGATATTCTTCAAATAAAATATAAGCAATTTAAAATTTAAAAATTATATACTGTATGAAATTCTTATTTCATTGGTCATAGTGTTCTCGCTATAATGATAAATGAAACATACATAAACACATACTAATTAATGGCCTAAGTTACATTTTACGGAATATCCGCAAAGAAATATGCAATTTACAAACTTGAATATTATATAACACATACAAACGTTGTCATTATCAGATAACAGAGAAGGCTGCCCTCATCTGATCTTCGATAATGACAACGAGTATATATTCTTTATAACGTATATCCTACAGCCTATATGTACATATAGGTACCTATATGACCCATAAAATCAAATGAGCCAGCACTATTACAGTTACACCCTTAATAAGACGAGTGTAAATAACAATAGACTCAAATGAAATTTCGGTACTCAGGTTATACAAACAAACACGCCTATTCCGTAAAGGGGTGATAGAGGTGTAGATACAAATTGTTAGTAAAATGCAATAAACACGTTAACCGTTATGCAACACGCACACTTCACAATGCACATCCTATGTTTTCCAACGTGACATCAATAAATTGTGACGACTCCAGATATCTATAGATCTGACGTTTTTACGCACTTTAACAATTTACACCTATTTAGAAACATGTCGACGCAACTCCTACAGTTGGTGGTTTTTTATGGATGATAATGGAATGGTACACCCGCCTGCGCTAACGGTTTAAGCTGGCGGGGTATCAGTGGAGGATGATAGGATGAGCATGAGGTCAGGTCAGTTAGCCCATCGTGACAAATTCACCAAGACTGACGATGGACGATTATCACGATGGTTTCCAGGGGGAATAGCGTGGAGGTCAACCTGACATGGTACATTGCTAGCAATAGGATCATCAGTCCACATTACTAACAATCCCATTTCCCCCCCCTACAGTTGGTGGAGAAACACTGAGTGCTATTAGACCTATTGTTGACAACGTATTCTATTCTGTCGACCTCTACATACCTAGTTGCTAATCCATTGGTAAATTCCTAGAAAAGCAAATGAAACAGCTACAAGAAATAAAGTGAGCTGAATTCATTCTTATTCTTTCGTACTTCATTTCATCAGTATATACCTACTACTAAGTAATATTATGTTCTCTGTGCTACTACTAAAAGCCGCAGATTTCCACCTGCAGAACCATTCGTAAGTAAGTACAAAGGGAAGGAGATTATTAATAATTGGACTAACAACCCCATTGCTAACAATACACCTAGGTTGTCCTCCGCGCGGTTCTCCCTGAAAACCAGCATGATAAATTCCTAGAAAATTTGTCACGATGGGCTAACTGACCTGACCTCATATTCTTCGCATCATCCTCCACTGCGGCCTCGACAGCGGAAACCGTTAGTGCAGTTAGGTACACCATTCCATTATTATCCATAAAAAAAATAGAGTAAGTACGTGTAGTCTTTACGAACAAACAAGGGTGGCGCGGTTTCAAAGGGCTACAATTCGTATTACATAACTTACACAACTACTGCAAATATTATTTAATCTAAATTAAGTACGTACCTATAAGGCTGTTTATACCGCAAACCCAGAAGATTGACCACAATAAACCAACGTGCAAACATCGCGCGCTCCAACCTTTCACCATTTTTCCAAAGTCACATCCTCCACCGACATTTTCCACTGGTAACTTTATACGTGGAAAACTGACCACATTCTAATTATTAATCACTAGATAATCCCATTATCAGCATTTTACCGGATTACTGGCCATTTTTAATTGGATTAAAAGGTTCAATGGCAGCGAACGTAAACACGCTACCGAATCGTTCCGTACGCGGACACGAATAATGCCTACGAAAGCTCGCGATATACTGAATTGAAATCAAACGAGTCGGTGCTCGGACGAGTATTGTAAAACGTAGGGTCGTAACTCGTAACTATCGTAGCGCTTTGGGAAAACCCTTTGGACAAATTGATCGGGTTCTCGGTTTGTTTCGTACCAATGATATTGTAATTAATGATGTACGTTTAATCCTAGCTCTGACCTTAGATAAGTTACAGCCCTGTTGGAGGTCCGTAGATGCCTACGCTCGTAGAATAATAGAAACTTCTCAGCGCAATTTGATAGGTTTTGTAATTAACGGGAAAGGGGTTATTAGAGTTGCTATCTAATTAAGTATTATTGCAGAGGAGTTAGAGCCTATCGCTTAGTTTCAAATTAGATAGGTATTTCGCGCGGCTTTTCTCTGGCTAACCCGACCCACGGAAAGAAATGCCTTTCCGTTCTTATCTTGGATATTTTTGGGAAATCTTTTCTCCTAATGCTTAGCCTACAAGAGTTTACTTTCTAGACGTTGTTATATAAGAACCCCTGTCTAAGACCGAGACGTTTTAGGTGTAGGACGTTTACAATATTGATAAGTGAGTTACAACAGCAATTATATTAGAAATCTTAAAGTACACAGCGATGATATACCTACTAAATGGAGTAGTGTGAATTTTGGCGAAAGTCCTATTTAAAGAAAATTATATCTTTTGTCTTGATAAATAACTACACAATTTATTATTGACGTTTAAAAAATTAGGTTTTAACTAAATTTAAATACTAGTTAAATAATCTAATATCTAGTTCATTCAGCCGTTTCTTTGTGCTATTGTTGCAAATAGAGATTTAGATCAAGGTAGGTAGGTAAGAGACATTTCACCCATTACGAATCTGCTATAATATAGATTATTAGGTTTTTAGGGATTTTAAAACTTACCGAGGTTAGAAATATTTAAAGGGAGTAAATAATAATATATCTAGAGTAAAAAAAATATATATATTTTCAATTGATATTCAAATAATGCCCATGTAAACAAAAAAGTGATTTATGAATAAGCATAAAATGAATGTATTTACTTTGTTTACGCGCTCGCGTGTTGTGTCCTAGAATATGTTATGTAAATGAACTGAATTGAAAAGAGGGGTCCGATGTTGACAATGTAATTACGCTTTAAAATTATGTACGATAGAGGATACAATAATGTTTATATAATACAAGATCATTTTAAAGAGAATTCTAGAATATTTTCACTAAAACACATATTGCAAAATGTTAAGTTTTGGGGCAATTGTTCTGGCCGAAAAACTTGTAGTGATGTATGAAACTTAGCTTGTCTCAGATTATGAATGTTGAGTTTAGAGAATTTAATAAATTTCTATATTAATACAAATATGAAATTTTGACTGTCCATATGATTATTGTCTGTTCACGACTAAACGGGTAATGGCCCTTATTGAAATTTAACGTAAAAATCTGTTAAGTATATCACGAGGAAACATATAGGATCTTTTATCTCAAAAGCCCAGTTTAAATCGCAGGACACAGGTATATTAAGCAGATCAAGGAGAAAGCTGGAGTCGTGTCGTATCAACAATCAACGATTGATGCCAAATCGAGAAAATGGCAAGAGTGCAGCTCTTAAATTATGAATGAATATTTCTTAGAAGAGAAAAATTATTGCTTTCTATTACTAGTCAACTGAAAACAAACAGCTTCATTTTATAAAAAAGTTATAGAACTATAATAAATTATTGTAATTTAAGAATCATAAGTTTACCAAAGAAAAACAGTATATAATATTAAATACATGGGTATAGATTTTTTATATGACAATACATGCTAATATAATAAATTTCTGGCGTTTAAAGTAACTCAAAAGAACAAAGCAACAAATACGATTTTTATATAGTTCATTGACATTTAGTTGTTCCATATTCATTAATTTCAAATATTTCCTACGTACTTATAAAGGGACGCCGCGAAGTAGCTCCAAAAACGGTGTCATCACACCCGCCACATTAGTATGTGTAAAGGGCTCTTTAAGGACTGTACACACTTGTGAACATCAAATTGGTTTTGAGTGACGGTCGAGTAGAGACGTGTATATACACGACATTGACCGAAAAAAAAATTGAAAAAAGAACATTATGTTCTATTATTAATTTGATTTTTCGTAACGGTTGTGTATGTAACAGTCTACCTCCGGTAGAGATAAAATCTAATTATAAATATGTTCCCTTATTTATTATTAATTTTGAAATTTAATACTGTAAAAATAAGTAGGTACTACGTGTATGGACTCCACAAAAATGTATTTTTTAGTCTTTAATTCAAAGACAGTAGTGGAAACAAACAGTACTGTACGTACTCGTGTGAAAATTTTAAAAGCTTTAAAAAAATTTTAATAATGGAAACTTCATAGATTACGTTAAAATAATCGTCTACATAACAAATTACAACAAATCGATATCGCAGGTACAATACTAGCCCGCTACACCTTATTTGAAAATTTGACCTGTCGATTTAGTCTCCGAGATTAAAAATCGGACTACAGTTGCATAGTGTGGGGGGAAGCGGACCCCCCATTTCTAGCAATGTCCCATGTCAGGTTGACCTCCACGTGGTTCCCCTTGGAAACCTACATTGTAAATTCCTGGTAAATTTGTCACGATGGGCTAACTGATCTGACGTCATGTTCATCCTATCATCCTCCATTGTTTCTCTACCAGAGTAAACGTTTAGCGCAGGCGCCATCATCCGTAAAAAAACGTTGCACAGTGTGTTAGAAGCTTTAAAGGCGGCAGAAGGGCTGGTCGGCTATTTCGGCAGTTTGGTCACGTGCCGCAATGTCCTGAGGGCGCCCAAATCGGCTCGCCCAATCTTTAATGGTGAATGGCGCTCTAGGTTGTACATCTTAATCCCAATCGATTGCGTTTGTTTACCTTTGGTGAAAGTATTGGAATTGCATAGTGGGAAAATATGTCAAGTACTCACCTTAAAGAGAAATGAAATAAAGGTTATTGATTCTTTAAAGAAAAAGCAATTACTGTACTGTATTTTGGAGGAGGAAGTATGCGAAGGAGTTTTAAGACATCGGTTTGTTGCACTGCATAATCTATAATTTTGGGCCTCACCGAGAAATACAATTTTTTCTTTAAGATAATAAGAAGTTGCAGGGTTAAAAAGAATGGAGTAAAGAAAACTGAGGATATGCCAGTCCCTGCGAAGACGTATAGGGAGCCACTTGAGATGTGAACGATACTTAGAGACATGGTCATATTTACGTAATCCAAATATAAACCTAATACAAATATTTTGAAGACGCTCAAATTTTTTAATTGTACTTCGGTAGGTCTAGGTAGCAAGTATCAGCATAATCAAGGACAGGAAGGAGTAAGGTGTGCGCAACCGAAATTTTGGTGTCTACGGGCAAGAAATAAATCTACTATGAGTGAAAATATCAAATAAAATCAAAATTTAAATACGTGTCTATCTACTAACATACTCTACCAATCACTAACCAAATTTGTACCTTTCCAGAATCTACATCAGAAAGATTAAAACTTCTTGGAGGGTTGGATATACCTTGTCTTTAGTGCGCGCCTCTGTTGAAGATGGCATAAATGGACGTAAAAATAACGACCGATTCCCATAGAAGACAGTAGAAGATACAGACGTCATACCTTTTGTCCTGTAATTTTATTCGAATATTATTCTTAGGAAGTGATATACATGATACTGTTTATGTCTACAAGTTACGTACGTGTAAGGGCATATTGGAAAATGTTTTATATATCTTTTATATATGACATTAGTCAGTAAAATATTTGGGACAATAAAACTAACCTTTGTGAGGACATATCCTATGAGGATGGGATAACATTGTCCACCCAGACAATAGACTTTTGCGAGTTGGTGATGTGGCCTCCAAAGGGGCTCAAAGGTGTATGCTGTGCCTTTATAGCCATGTAGTAGTTTTTATAAAGTGCGAGATGACAAATTTTAATCATTAACGCAACGAGAGCCATAACGTCGTGTCTCATCACATTTTTTTTAAATAGCGTGGATAATTTTTTACAATCCGACAAGGAACTTGTATCACAAGTTCCTGTAAGTAATATGTAATTTAAATTTCATTCATATGCAAATTAAAGGCAGTATTTAATAAATATTGTTTATTTTGTGGCATATCTCTTACAGCTAACAAAATGTATAGATATATAATCGGTAATAATACACCACAATACCAGGGGCGAATCGTGAATTTGTGGGGCCCTGGGCTAAATCTACTACCTACTTAATTATATAACTCAACTAAAAAATTACACGGACCAAAAACAAGCGACCAGAAATCCCGTTTTCCTTTCGATAGACCCGCAATTGCATGGGTTACCAGGTGACCAACCTTATGATAGGTATAGGTTTTTTAACATTCTAGATATTTTTTTATATTATATAAAATATCGTTTCAGTGGGGACTGGGGGCCCTGGGCTGCAGCCCAAAAAGCCCTTAGGCAGATCCGCCCCTGCACAATACAGATGACAATATGTTGCACGACATTTAATTAAATTCTAATGTCCTTTATATATAATTTTTAGGCACAAAATTTTATAATGTGAGCGATTACATACACAGATTACATATTTTATTTCTATATCTATATAGTTTTATCAAATATCTACAATAGATAGAGATAGAAGAGATACAATGAACCAAATTCTATGATGTTTGCGAAATTCACAAAGAAATTATAAGGAAATTAGAAAAAAATTGTCGTAGGTACAAAGGTATTTAGTGTCTAAAAATACCACTTTACACGAATCATAATAGGAAATGCTATACATAATCCGTCAGTGAAAATATACTATTTCGTCAATACGGCTATATATATACAAAGTTATTATATTTCGTATGGAACAACTTCATTTATCCTTAGTACTGTAGAATATGGCGTTTGGTCACTTTTGATAAAAAACAAATGAGTAGAAACTAGTAGTGAAGTCATGGATGATGGGAATAAATTTGGTGTTTGCCAAATTTATTCCCATCATCCAAGCCAGCCAAGAGGCCAATACAATTTTACCTAGGCCAATACAATTTTACCTACATGCTCTAAGTCTGTGCTGTGAGCACGCATGTAGGCGATGGTTAGTCTACTCAGTTTAATGACCGTACAACATAGCTTTTCCCATTAAATTGATCACGTGACCACGGGATACCTTTATCATAGGAGTATTTTTAATTATCCATGAAAAATTAATTCAATTTGATAAATCATCATAGTCCATTGTAAAGCGCTGACAATGTTATCATAAGGAACGCGTTCAGAACATTAAATATTGCGGTAACAAGATCCTAGTCATCTATAATTGTCATTATATACCAAATTGATTCTTTGCAGTATGTCTCAATTATTATTCTTACCTGTGATTATGGTATCAGTCCTCAATAACAACGAATAGAATCCTAGATTCTAAATATTTTTGATCTGTAATTTTTAATTTGTAACCCATATTATTTGTCCGTATTATATTTTGAACAATTACAATATAAATACATTTAGAAATATTTAATACGAAGAGATCCGACTGTGGTACCCATATTCAAACTGTCCAACTCATAAAGTTACATATTATTATAATTACTAATATTATACAATGTTTGAATAAGTTCTTTTCCTTTTTTAGTGATTTTATATATATATATATATATATATATATATATATATATATATTGTACATAGGCATTACTTTATACGGCAGGCATTCTTTATACTAGAACAAACTTTTATGTGAAACAAAAAAGAATAATTGAAATAATTTTATTAACAATAAATATTTTTATTTTAATTTTACACATTTTTTATTTAAGTAGTCTTATTTTTTTTTTTCTTTCATTACTACTTACAACAGAACCTATGTTTATAGTATATGTTATTATCTAAAAACACTAACAAACTCCTGTAAATTCTAATACCTTCATGAAGTGTAATTATTAAGAATTATTCTTAGCTTTTTTTTTACATTTCACTTAACCTAATATTCATGCAAATATTTTAATATACGTTATATATCTACACTAATATTATACAGAATGTGAGTTTGTATGTATACTAACTCCTCAGATATTACTGAAACTATTTGAAAATTTTTATCACCATTTGAAAGTTCATTATTCAGATGTACACACAATCAATATTCAGCCAGCGAACTATAAAATATATACCCGATAATATATATAAATTTATAATTATACTATAATATTATACTATCATTTAGACACATATTATTATTTATAATGACAATCAAGTATTGATTAAATAGGATGCACTGGGGTTAAAATATATAGCCTATAGTTATGTATTATGATATATAGATTTAATTCATTCAATTTCAATTTTAAATAACTTCGTAGTCATCAGTTTAATAGGCATCTCGCACATGGGGATGTACTAGAAATGCACTCTCCTCCTAACGACCCTCAGTCCAAAAATTCAAACGGGGATCGGAAAAAAAAGTACGACTGCCCGAGCCAGGGTTCGAACCCAAAGCGGTGCCCTCAAAGTAAAGTCGTATCCGTCAGGCGGGAGTTGGCTTTCAGCTGCTCCATAAGTCCTTCCGAGGGTTTGGAGTGCCATCTGCACTCGCCTCTTATCGTCCGGTGAAGCTGTAAAGGCCAGCTGCGGCCAACAGTATTAGAGTAGTCCAAAAAAGAAAGATAGCAATTTCAACATAGTATACAATATGAATGAATCATTTTTAGGATAAGAAGTGGTCATTTTAGGTCGTTATTCGTAAGATAGAATTAAGAAGTGGAGTACAGAGATCAGATGTGAAAGAAATACATATAGATTTTTTATCAGTCAATATGTTATTTATGATAAATATAAGTGTTACATCTTATAGATAATCGTCACATGAATGTTACAAGGCTATGAAATGTAGTGAATATTCTACATACGCTCTTATTAATTATTAATTTTAATCAACTGTATAATTAAAATTTATTTTTTATGTATAAACCACAGATCAAAAGAAGCTTTTTCTGTGGTGTAAACCATTTTAAAGTTGCAGTTTTATATTTATCAATTATTAATTTTATTAACAAAAATTTTATCAACCGTTACAATTGCCAAAAGTTTTATTTCAATCTATTTTGCATATAAAAGCGATTACAAGGCTTTTTACTTAGCACTTTAATTTTAATGTAAAGCAATTGTAATGACGTCATTACAAGTGTTATAAAAAATACAAACGAATACAAACGTTATTAATATAGCAATAGCACCTCAATTTCCATTTCCAGACATGATCCATAAAAAAACAATTAGCAGTTATAGCTTTTTGTGTAGTACACATAGTAATAAATCTCAACATGAATGTTGTTTATTGAAAGAGGCTCCTACTAGTTACGAGAATAAAGCACAGATTATTCAGAAGGATGAATCTATCCATCTAACTGAAAAGGTAAGAATATTATATCCTCCATTTATATAGCGAGATCAGATGCCCAGCAGCTTATTGGCTGACCTTTGATTTTTATTTCCTTTTAATAACTTAATACTTGACCTTCTATAATGTGAGAAAAACTGACTTTTGTGACTCTTTCGTTCAACTAGAGACCGAATGAGACAGGTATATGTATTGGGCTGAAATTTTCAATTCATCTCTTTATTTTTTTTTCATTTTATTTAGGTAAATATGAGTTGAACGTAACGATCACATCGTCGTGACTTTTATCCCAGATGAATTTCTGAGGCATAGTCAATGGTCGACTCCACGATGAACGCAATACTTGACAAGCAGATCCACTTTTTTCTAGGTATATTTGAATTTAAAGTGGTAGGAATCGGGATTAGCGTCTCTTTAAATCCAAATCAATATCTAGCATCTATTTCTTAGGGATATAATATTATTTGTGGCTAATTCTAATTAACTCATACTTATGGAAATCACAGAAACGCAAACTACAGTGTTTTTTCTTTAAATGTTTACTTGTGTATTATAAGTACAATAAAAACAGTTTTTACATTATTTGGTCGAAACTTACATTTTATCTCTATTTAAATATTTAAAGACATGCAATTGTTGTGTGGTTATTAGATATCTAGCAAACAAATTAGAAACATTTCTAACTCTTAATAATAAACAGTATTAACTAAAAAATTGCATTAGAAAATCGACATTAAGTTGAAGAAACTAAAGGCCATTTCCAAATATATTGTTTTAGTATATGTATATATGCTTAATAATAAAAAATTGAAAATGCCGTCTTTTTCCACATTATATTCCAAAATCTGGTTAATGTTTTTTTTGCACATTAGTTAATAAAATCCAATTCACCTTCTTTTATAAAAAATTTGGTTATTCTTACACTAAATCTATCAACTATTTTGTTCAACAAATTATCTAGGTCATAATCTATATATGTCATACAAGACATGGAATACAAGGTTTCTTTTAATCTGTCATTTAGCCATACATAGCACTTATACACTCAGGTATATAAAATATATGGGTACTTTATTTTATGTACATACATAGGTAAAAAACCTTTCCGTATATATACATATAAGAGTTTAGAAATTAAATAATACAACAGTACATCCCATAAACACTTAACCAATAATAATAATGTAGGATGTACTAAACTACTGATAGAAATACTTAAATAGATTATTTTGTAAATACCTACATAATATACATAATAAAAATCCTCAGTCATACTCATGAATACAAGTGATCGTATTGTGCGGGACTCGAATCCGCTACCGTCGGTCGTGTGGTAACATACTTAAAAAAAGTTAATATTTGCACCCTAATAAATAGGAGCAGTGAATTGTTAGTAATGGACGCTGGAAGTCCCATTACTACCAAAGTCATATTAGGTCAACACTGGTACACGCCAGGATAAACCATTAACGAGGAGGTGCTCCATTTCATTACTATTCATTAAAAAAACAATCTTAATACCTACATAACTTACAATAAACAAATGCCTAGCAACTAACAGATAATACATATAGGACAATTACCCCTTTTAATTCCGAGTTGTGAGCTCTTTTTTGCAGATCATATTTACATTTGTGGTAGAGACTCGATGGGTATAGCAAACTTGAAGTCTTCAGGGAACAACTTGGCTGCGAATGGGTACATAAGCTTGTAAGACTGCCGGATGGTTACATCTGCAACGCCGGCGATGTCACCGATCTCTTTTTGACTGCGTTTATCGTCTGATGCCTAGAAATTTATAATTTTAAAATTATTTTTATTTATAACAAACTAAAAAAGGTTATTTTATTGATTTTTATTCATGGTATATATTAATGTATTCTAAAAAATATTATAGTGCACCATCGTATGTCCTTAATGCTATAAAAATTCTTATATACATCTTAATAATCCTTACTAATATTATAAATGCGAAAGTAACTCTGTCTGTCTGTCTGTCTGTCTGTCTGTCTGTCTGTCTGTCTGTCTGTCTGTCTCGCTTTCACGCCAAAACTACTGAACCGATTTAAATGAAATTTAGTACGCAGATAGTCTAGACGCAGAGGAAGGACATAGGCTACTTTTTAATGCGTAAAAAGGGTTGTAAGGGGTACAAAATGGAAATACAAGGTTATCTTTATGCGGTTGAATCCTTATTCGTCATCTTTTCATTTCACTAGCTAACAACCAATCAACACATCGCGTGCGTTTGCGCCATTCGCCATCTTTTCATTTCACTAGCTAACAACCAATCAACACGTCGCGTGCGTTTGCGCCAATAAGGTATCCATCACAGAGAATAAAACCACAGATAACATAATGTAAAACGAAAGATCTTGCCGGAAACATGACGTTGACGTTTAGTGAAAATATTGTTTTTGACACTTTTTTATGATAAAATCGTATATCGTGTGTATGTGTTTTTTCTTTAAACCTGAAATTGGCCGATTGCGAGACAAATTTGGCGATTTTTTTTATTAATTTGTTTTACGGCTCTGGATACAAGCCCAGTTTAGCCCAACTTAAAGTTTTACAATATAAATTACAAAAATTAAAGTCAATGTCCAATGTTAAATAATAATAAATGTCAAATGTTGTTTCCCTGTTCTGACAAACTTAAAAAAAAAAAAACTTAATAACAATCACAATTTCTTCAAATTTTATTATTTACATTTTTTAAAGAATGTTGTGGTGTGGCACTATCCGAAATTAAATTATTTACCCATTTTTGTAGGTTATACAGAAATAATGTGTGGGTGTTTATTTAAAAAGCATTAACACAAAATTAATAAAGTATAGGTATTAATAAATATATGGTTGTTGTATCAAAATAGAATTTTCTTATTTTTCACTAAAATAAAAACTAACTGTCTTTTTTATAAAATAAATGACCTTTTCATTGTGCCATATATTATGGAACTATTTAAATTATTTAGCTGATTGTAAGAAACAAAATGTTGGTTTGTAGATTAATACTGTAAAATTATGATTTGTACGGAAACGATAAAAATATATTTTTGTGCTGCGACAAAAACTAATATTATAAATGTGAAAGTAACTCTGTCTGTCTGTCTCGCTTTCACGCCAAAACTACTGAACCGATTTGAATGAAATTTGGTATACAGATAGTCTAGACCCTGAGAACGGACATAGGCTACTTTTTAATGCGAAAAAAGGGTTGTAAGGGGTTAAAAGGGGGGATGAAAGATTGTATGGAAGAATCGTCATATTTGAAGCTAGAAGCTTGAAACTTATTTTTGATACTGTTGATTAAATATAAATAAAAATGACTTTCAATGTTTGTAAAAAATTACCCTTAAGTGGGTAAAATAAAATAGGGGATGCAAGTTTTTATGTAAATTCGTCATTTTTGAAGCTAGAAGCTTAAACTTATTGTTGAGACTGTTGATTAAATATAAATAAATACATATGACATTCGTTGTTTGTAAAAAAATTACCCTTAAGGGGGTTAAATAAAATAGGGGATACAAGTTTTTATGTAAACACGTCATTTTTGAAGCTAGAAGTTTGAATCTTATTGTTGAGACTGCTGATTAAATATAAATACATATGACATTCATTGTTTGTAAAAAAAATTACCCTTAAGGGGGGTAAAATAAAATAGGGGATGCAAGTTTTTATGTAAACACGTCATTTTTGAAGCTAGAAGTTTGAATCTTATTGTTGAGACTGTTGATTAAATATAAATACATATGACATTCATTGTTTGTAAAAAAAATACCCTTAAGGGGGTAAAATAAAATAGGGGATGCAAGTTTTTATGTAAAATCGTCATTTTTGAAGCTAGAAGCTTGAAACTTATTTTTGAGGCTGTTGATCCTTACTAATATTATAAATGCGAAAGTAACTCTGTCTGTCTGTCTGTCTATCTCGCTTTCACGCCAAAACTACTGAACCGATTTACATGAAATTTGGTACACAGATAGTCTAGACCCTGAGAAAGGACATAGGCTACTTTTTAATGCGAAAAAAGGGTTGTAAGAGGTTGAAATTGGGGATGAAAGATTGTATGGAAGAATCGTCATTTTTGAAGGTAGAAGCTTGAAACTTATTTTTGAGGCTGCTAATTAAATATAAATAAATATGACATACAAAGTTTTTAAAAATTTTACCCTTAAGGGGGTTAAATAAATTAGGGGATATTTTTTTTATGTAAATGCGAAAGTAACTCTGTCTGTCTGTCTGTCTGTCTCGCTTTCACGCCAAAACTACTGAACCGATTTACATGAAATTTGGTACACAGATAGTCTAGACCCTGAGAAAGGACATAGGCTACTTTTTAATGCGAAAAAGGGTTGTAAGAGGTTGAAATTGGGGATGAAAGATTGTATGGAAGAATCGTCATTTTTGAAGGTAGAAGCTTGAAACTTATTTCTGAGGCTGTTGATTAAATATAAATAAATATAACATACTAAGTTTGTATAAAATCTTACCCTTAAGGGGTAAAATAAAATAGGGGATGAAAGTTTTTATGTAAATTTGTCATTTTTGAAGCTAGAAACTGATTTTTGAGGCTGTTGATTGACTATAAATAAATAAGCCATGAAATTTTGTAAAAATTTTACCCTTAAGGGGGTAAAATAAAATAGGGGATGAAAGTTTTAATGTAAATTCGTCATTTTTGAAGCTAGAAGCTTGAAACTTATTTTTGAGGCTGTTGATTAAATATAAATAAATAGGCCATCAAAGTTTATAAAAATGTTAGCCTTAAGAGGTTAAATAATATAGGGGATGAAAGTTTTTATGTAAATTCGTCTTTTTGGAAGCCAGGAGCTTGAAACCTATTTTTGAAGCTGTTGATTAAATATAAATGAATATGACATTCAAAATTTGTATAAAATTACCCTTAAGGGGGTAAAGTAAAATAGGGGACGAAAGATTTTAGGTAAATTCGCTATTATTGGAGCCAGATCTATGAAACTTTTTTATTGAATTTAGTTAGTTTATTAAATACCTTACTAATATTATAACTGTAAAAGTAATTCTGTCTGTCTGTCAGTCTCACTTACACGCCAAAACTACTGAACAGATTTAAGTGAAATTTGGTACACAATTAGTCTAGATCTTGAGAAAGCACATAGGATACTTTTGGATGCGATAGAAGGGTTATAAGGGGTTGAAAGAGTACATGCCATGCATACGAGGTTGTCCGACCTACGGTTCCGGCTGGGTGTGACTGGATGTCGCATCCTAGAAGTGCCAGGCGCCGATACCGGCGACAAAGCGAACTCACTAGCTGCAAGGTTAGTGATCTTGCCAGTAGAAAAAGTCCGGGTCACCAGGCCGGAGAAATCAGCTGAACTGAGACTATGTGACCTGGACGACTCGGTAACATCTGAGAACGTCGTTGCCGCGAGTGGGAGGATGCGCGGATACAAGCATACAGGCGGGCGAGGTCCGGTGCACTCCCTCCGGCGTGGGCTCAAACTGGGTGCGATGCCCGGTTGCAGCAGCCTAAACCCTAATCCCGGCGGGTCGGATTAAGGTAAGGTGCTTGCTCACGGGGCACGTAGGCCAACGGTGCACTGCAGGGGAAGACTGCAGCGATAGGTGCTATCGCTGTGGTCAGGGCGGCCACAAGACCGCGAGATGTGTCGCGCCATCGCCACGTTGCTGGTACTGCGCTGCGGCTAACCGCAAGTCGGACCATGGAGTCGGTAGCACAAAATTGTGTCGCTTGCCAAGGCCTGACACCTGACACCTGAGTCTATCAGCGTGGCCATCGAATCCATATTTGACACTAGGGTGGAGGATTGTTAGGGCGATCCGAAGCTCACAAGGGAGGCATTACGGTGGCGTGCAGAGACCATTCCCTGCACGCCTAGATGAAAGGTCCCTTCAATGGGAACCGTGGTAGTCTTGGAGAATGCATATGCGATCCTATGGCTACGGCGACATGTTCGAGGAGGAATAGTCGTCAGGTTTTTGGCCGATATGAATCCGGCAGTCCCCATTTGGCCCCTAAGCCGGTGGGCCTCTATGAAGATTTTTTCCTGACGTTAAAAAAACACGGTTGTACGTAAGAATCGTCATTTTTAAAGCTAGAAGCTTGAAACTTATATTTTAGGTTGGTGATGATTGACCAACCTAAAATATAAGATGATGAGATGATGATTCATAGTTTGTAATAATTTTACCCTTAAGGGGGTACAATAAAATAGGGGATCAAAATTTTTATGTAAATTCATGACTTTTTAAGCTAGAATGATGAAACTGTTTTCATTGGCTTTTTTGGATTTATTTATTAAACACCTCACTAATATTATAACTCTCGATTCAGTAGTTTTGGCGTGTAAGCGAGCACGCCAAAACTACTGAACCGATTTAAATGAAATTTAGAACATATAATCTAGAAGACCCTGAGAATGGATATAGGGTATTTTTTAATGTGGAAAAGGGTTGTAAGGGGATTGAAAGGTGCAAGGTTGTATAGATATATCGTCATTTTCAAAGCCTGAAACTGATTTTTAGGCTGTTGATTAAATATAAATAAAGAAAATTTGGTTGTAAGGAATTTAAAAGAGAGTCAAATGTTTACATACAATATTGTCGTTTTTAAAGCTAGAAGCTTGAAGTTTAATTTTTAGCCTATTTATTAAATATATATTAAGAAAAGAAGTTATAAGGAGTTGAAAGAGTTATGTATGTTAGTTATGTATGGAAGTATCATTTTTGTAGATGAAATGATGAAACTTTTTCATTAGGCTTTTATTGGGTTAGATCATTAAATAATTTTTTCATTATTTAGTCAAGTTCACTATTTTACGCGGACGAAGTCGCGGGTACAGCTAGTAATAGTATAAACGCGAAAGTTTGTAAGTTAGTTTTTACGCAAAAACTTCTGAATGGATTTTTATGAAACTTTACAGTATAGCTTATACATCAGAATAGCACAAAGGCTATATTTTTTATTTAAATTTAATGCGGGTGAAACCGTGGGCACAGATAGTATTATATAATTGTTTTAATAGGAATATCTTAGAAGTAGATGATGATAAAATAGATGAGACATATGTACACCTACACCACATAGACAATACATATATAAAGTCTACCTTACTATATTAGTAGGCTTATATATTTATATAAAGAAAACAAAATATTTACTTGTGAAGCCATATAAATGGCAGCGGCGGCGACCGAAATCGGACTGCGGCCAGACACTATGTCCAGCTCCCCAGCTTTCCTCGCGATGTGCGTTGCTGCCCTCTGTACCGAGTTCGGAAGACTAAGATTCGAACAGAACCGAGACATGAAATCTGCAGTTGTGATAAGATCCACAGAAGTTTCCAAAGCTTTTAGGATAAGTTTGAAACATCGTCCAATTTCCTTTTTGCTTATTTTGCTGACTGCGCATATCTCTTTGAAGGTACGTGGTACGCCTTCTTGGCGACAAGCGATGTAAAGACAGGCAGATGCAATGGCGTCATTGGCTCGTCCTTTCAAATTCTTGCCATCATGTACCTGAAGTTTTAAAATTGTAAACATTAGTCTATGATCCAGCGTCTCATAACCAGTGGATGCAGACCTTTGTTGGTCCAAATATGATATCACTGCATGCATGTCGTGAAATCACTGTTTTTTTCTCATTTGGTCTTGAAATTTGTATATCTAGTGTATGTAACTAAAAGAATTATAAAACTACTTCATTATCTATACATATAAATACAATTGGAGTGTCTGTTTGTAATATTGAAATAACCATTTTTTACTACATGCACATGAATATAAATACAGTACATACACCAAAATAACATTTTTTACAACTTTTGTCTGTCTGTCTGTCTGTTTGTTCTTTTTTTTTTTGGCAGGTACCTGATGTAATAAGGATTAACTTAGACTACTTTTATTTTAGAAAAATAAATTTATATTCCACACGGACGAAGTCGCGTGTACAGCTCGTCTATTAATAATAATGTCTATAAAAATATTTGAATTAATTCTCAGTGTGGTGAAATGTTAATATAAATAATAAGAAAATTGATAATATAAATAACAATAAGACAATTGTTTTATATAAATAATAATAAGAATGTCTTCGTACAACAATGTGTCACTAATTACACTTAATCAAATATGTATTAATTATGAGTCATTTAAAGCAATGTTTTAGTACACCTGATTATGACATAGGCTGCAGTTTCCAGTTTCCATCATATGGGTCATCGGCTAGTTACATTATTTGTGTCTAATGTCTACTCATGCAATTATTATTAGATATTAAACTTATTCTTTCAAGTAATATATTCTATTAACAAGATATCCGAAGCTGGTAGAGTTTTCATAGACTTTCTAGTTTTTTTATATTAAAATAAATTGCAATATTTAAACTTATGATTTCACATACAAATTTCTCTATTGTGCAATAATAATTCTAGATGTATTCTGATATTAGAAAGAGAGAGAAACAGCTTGATCTATATGCAAAGTTTACCTCAAATAAAGAAATAATATTACATTAGAATATTAATATTACAATATCATTAAAATACTTCAATTCCTGAGATAAACAAGAACTCTTATCAATCTCTAGATAATAAAAACTATTAGTGCCTACCTGTTTGAACAAGTTGTTAGCTCTATCAACAATGGTCTTTGGTAAATTGATTCGATCTGCCATTGTGTTTATTTCTCTGAATGCATTTATGAGGGCTCTGTCTGTACTACTGATATTCCTCCGGTTCTGATATTTAGATACACCAAAACTGTCAAATGATGCATCTCCTCGGCCTGGTCCGATGATTGTGGACAAGTCGCCACCAGACAGTAAGGGGTTTTCTGGACCACCAACACGGGAGGGATCAACTCCTGATTTCTCATTGCTAAATGTACGCCATTCTGATCCGACATCTATAACTCTGCAATAAGTAAGAAAATGTGTAGTAGGTGTTCAATTATTAAATTATTCATGTAATGACTAATGTGACCATGTGATCATAGTGTTTTGGCTGGTACAGTCCTTTCAGACTGTCTGCCACCATCTTGACCAAAAGTTTGTCATTTTTGTAAAAAGACTGGTAAAAGGCTGTGTTGGTAAAAATAATAAGAAATCAAGAGTGGGACACTTGTAGATTAAAACATACAAAAACAAAGAACATGAGAGCAATAATAAGTGAACTCATTAACTTCACTATTCCTTCTGATTTGAATTTTGTTGTTTAGTATGGTAAATGCTAAAATATTGAATTTATCAATTATGGCGCAATCAATAAACATGGAATAAACTTTGAACACTTATGTATTAATCGCTATTTACAGAGAAAGCCAGCGAAACTAATTAACTACCATGTTTTATTTTAAACATTTCTACAAATGTAATTAATAGTCACATGATTGATTTGGTTTGAAAGGTGTAATATGTGTGCATCAAATTTAATGATTCTCCTTTCGAAAACTACACAATAGACAATGGTGTTTATGGTGTAGTGTCACTTGGCCTTACTGGCCACAGATGGAATGGCATTGAAACTTTTTACAAATAACCAGAGAACCTACTCATTCATATCCTTCCTGCCAATTATTTTATGATTATCTCAGTATATAATTGCCACTTCCAAGAGGGGAAATTAGCTGAATGAGTTTTATTTTTACGAAATTATATTCTAATTACAAATTAATGTAAATGAATCGTGACAAAATGATTTCGCAAGTGTTTCAAAATATTAGACTTACCTATCTCCAACGACGAGACCGCATTCCGAACATATCATGTCACCAGCCCTGTAATCTTCGATGAGCGGTGCATCAGGGTGAGCATAGCATACAACCTTATTTGCTTCACTTCTAAAACCATAAGAAAATACATGGACTCAGTAACTTAAAATCAACAAGTAAAAAATATTACGATCCACTACAGCGCACTTTTGCACGTTTCATCACCACCGATAACTTACTTATAACCATTATGCTTATTAATATTACTTTAGTGACAAAATACAGAAATTATATCATATTAAAAGTGACAATTTCAATAAAAATAAATTAGAAAACAGACCTCGACGTGCTCGCCATGATTGTCAATGTGTATAGACGAACAAATTTATTTTCTTTATACTTCAAGATTTACAGATTTGGCTTCCAAGCATTGTGTTTTTGTTTATGGTTTACATTTGAGTTCGTCTGGTAAATGATGTACTTGGATGATAATTTCCACTTTATAGTTTTGTTTCTATCAGTAAAACATTGAAATAAAAATCTATTATTTCTCCTAGTTTATTTTATCAATATTAATTTCCACATTAATTCGGATAAATTTTACAATTACAGGACATAAGTGTTTATAGCGCCATCTGTTAATGAAAAAAATTTTCTATAACAATATAGATAAGAAAATTGCTCTTGTTAAAATCTGCTAAATGGTGTTAAATTCAAATATGTAAGAATAAGTATACCTAATAATAACCTACTTACTATAACTACCTACTAAATTTGCCTATAGTATGTAATATTATGTTATCTGTGCCTATAGAGAGTTGTATAAACTTGTGTATTCTATACCGAATATGTAGATTATGCCATCTATCTTAGTTTACCTAAACTGCCATCTATGGCACTGGAAGCAAGCACTCTGGTATACTCCCCAATAGACCCAAATAGACTTGCTTTGAAGTACCGACTTTGCAGAACTTTGTTACTAGATGGCACTGTATGACATGTTTACTACATACTTTTTTAAACGCTCTCGTACTTTATTATGTACGATTTGACTTAATTTATGCGTTATCTATTCGTACAATCATCGTATCAAACATAGAATATATATTGTGTATTAGCAAAGCGACATATACAAAAGTATAAACGAATAAATGTCAAGTTACATTTCTTGTAATGCATACAATCCGGGTCACTGGGTCAACTAAAGGCCCAATTACAAATTACATCGATTGATGACCGACCGCATATTTACAAATATTGCAATACTATCGCAACGTTTCATTCATGTCCCTTAATTTATTACAAAGCACATATTAATATCCTTGACGTCTTTCTTCTATATGATTAATTGCTGAGTTTTTTACGATATTAACGTAACTTTTAATGTTTTATTTGTTTCTTTATATAAATATAATTCTTTCGTATGTTTGTCACCTAGGTAATTTATAATTTTATTTGGAAATTTTGTGTGTATATTTCAATGGGGGACCCATTGAAATTTACCCATGAATGGTTTGAAAAGACAATTGGACTCAATAGGTACTATTTTTTCTGTAGTACGACTGCTGCCAGGTCCGTGAGTAACATGTCATATATGTAGGTACTCTATTTTGTACGACTTGGTTGTTAGATCACTGAAAAAATAACGTCTTAGGGAAGGGGATTGTTAGAATGGGGATTAATTTGAGTTAATTTCATTGCTAGCAATGTTCTATATCAGGTTGAAACAGACAGATAGACACACTGTCGTCTTTATAACATTAGTATGGATTGTATAGGGGGTCAATGTACACAGCCTTGGCCTGTACGAGACCACTGCATAATCTATTGGCCGTATGGGTGTTACATAACTATCAATTATATCTATGATGAAGGGTATCATTACTAATATGAACTAATAACCCTATTGACATCAGTGTAAATAAGTGCAGCAATCATATCAGGTTGACCTCCACGCGTTTCCATCTGGAAACCACCGCGATAAATTTGGGTGATTCTTCACGACGGGCTAAGTAACGTGATCCCCATGATCGTCTCGTCATCCACCAATGGTGCCCCGTCAGCGTACCATTAGCGCAGCCGGGTGCACCATTCCATTATCATTAATTAAACGAAATTCCTAGTGAATAAGCCACGATATGCTAACTGACCTGACTTCGTGCTCATCTTATCATGCTCTACTAGTGCCCCAGCGTAAACCGTTGGGTCCATTATCATCCATTAAGAAATATTGGTGTTGTTTCAACATGACGATATCACTTTTAAGCATTTTTATCATTCATACAAATATTCTACATCTGTATTAATACGTGAAGCAAAAACTTTGTGCCCCTTTTTATGAAAATTGCGCGGACCACACTTATAGTTTATATAAAAAAAGACATACATACACACTATCATGTATTCTTTTATTTAAAGTAATATTTGTCGGTTTCTTTGTGGCGACATTCTTTTGGCCTATGTCTTATCTTTATTATTATCCTATATTTGTATTTCTAAGTTTTATTTTTGTTTACTTACCTATTATTCATGTATTTAAAATTTTTATAGTCTTACTAAATGTTAAACATAATGATAATAATTTCACCAATTACAATATATTTACCACTAGTTTAAATGAACCTGTCTAATAATCAGAAAGGGATGCAATAAGGGACAAAAGTTAGTTCAGGCGACGTCGCGGGTAACAGCTAGTCGTTTATATAAAAAAAAACATGAGTTCAGTATCGATCAACACAAATTAAGTAACTGTAGTATCAAGAAACTTATAAAAATATATCGGCACATGAAAAGTCATGTGAAATCCAGATTTTTTTATTATGGAATAGCAGGAAAACAACCGGCCCACCTGATGGTAAACATACCTTTATTTATGAACATCATGTGACAATCGCGATACCACTCATATGTTGTCATTCTAAAGGACAATATATAATTCCTCGTATCCTGTAATTTCACTGTCTAATCTGCAGTCTACAACCGAAACAGCTTACAAAGCATGTTGCTTGGCGCCAGAAATAGATCACAGAGAGGCGTTACCATCAGCACTAACATAAAACACTTTTGTTTAACGATAACTAGGTGTTATCCGCGACATCATCTGCATTTTTTTAAATAAAAGATAATCCTATATGCTTGTGATTCAATCTATCTTTCGTGTCAAATTTCATTAAAATACGTTTTTGAGTATCTTTTTACATAATTTACGAATGTACTATCGAAACGGTATTTTTTTTGATCATATAAATCAAATAATATATTTCTACTTTTAAGAATTCCCTTTGTAACTGTTCAACTGTTTCGTGAAAAGATACTTTTCAAACTTAAACTGCACAGTGCTCTACTTCGAACAGTTGCGGGTTTGATTCCTCGCACAGTACTAATGTTTGTATTCATAAGTATGATTGTTGGTCTAGGTGTTTTATGTACATTAAACATGTATTTACAAAAAAAATATATCTAAGTATATCTGTCAGTTGTCTAGTACCCACCACTTCTGCTTAGCTTATGACTAGATGGCGCTGTATGAATTGTAATATCTAGGCATATTATTATGTACTAAGTATTATTATTATTGTATAATATAGGTAATAGATAGTCATCGAGTATGAATGTTACCCCTATATACCCTATTTTTATATACTAAGTTACACCTATTTTTGTACTTACTATCAAATTCACTGATAAATAACATATAGATATATCAATAATAATGCAGAATCCAGTCAGTACCGTGTTCATATTACAAACATTAAAACTAAACGTACAACATACTTATTAGTAACACAATTATGATAATGTCACTATTTGCAGCTTGCAACAGACCAAAAATAGAATAATTGGCGAATTCCAACGGCTAAAGATGGCTGCGTTTCGCAACAAAAATAGAAACAAATGCATTTATAAGTAAACTCAACACTGTATTCACAAAAAAATAAAAGTTGACGCATGATGGATATCATTCTTATTGTATACAGTGAATAGAATTTATTAAACAATTATATTGGTAAATGTTTTTATGTCACAAAAATTTCTTACGTAGGTATATGGCCTACGATTTAAAAATGAAATACGATTTCAAACTCAAAATCCATCTCTGGTAACTAGGTAGAATATTTCAGTGACTTATGCACGGCTTTATATATCACTAGCTATTCCCGCAACTGTTCCCGCAATTTATTTTTATAGTTTTTTTTTTTGGAAAAAAAAACTTAAATAAAAGTAGCCTAAGTTACTCCTCATTACATCAGCAACCTGCCAAAAAAGTCCTGTCAAAATCGATCAAAAATGATAAAAAATGATATTTTGGTATATGCATGTAGTAAAAAACGGTTATTTCAATATTACAAACAGACACTCCAATTTTATTTATATGTATAGATAAGTATTAGTTGTGTTACAAAATTTCGTCTACGTTTTTTAGATAAAAGATACCGTATGTGCATCCTCGTTATCTCCATATTCATATAAAAATCATTACGATCTGATCAGCCATTTAGCGTGAAAATGCACAAAAACGTGCCCTAGTAGTCACCCTTTCACTTTCACAACTTTCTTTTTAACAATAGTATGAATTTTACCCTTTGTCTGGTTCAGATGACAGTTTCAATTGAAAAGAATTGATAAAAAACAAAAAGGAATTCTTTATACTCATACATGTCCCATTTTCAGTAATAATATTTCCGGAGGCCAAAGATGAAGGCGAATGAAAAAACTAAATACTACTGAAAATACCTCGATACCTCTGTTACTAACAGCTCGTTTTGATTCTAGAAACAAAAATCGGAGATACAGTGTAGAGAAGGATTTATAACTTACTAGCTGACCCGGCAAATATTGTTTTACTATATACATTTATTAATATCGCTATTAAAAAATTGAGGTTGATGGGAGAAGTGTATTATTTATATAGAATATTATTTACTTCATAAAAAAGTAAAATAAAAAATTATGTCCAAATAAATGAAAATCTTTTATGGTATGAATTTTTATGGTGGATCATCCTTATATATACTTAGGGGTATGAAAGATAGTTCATACCCTATACCCTATCTGTCTAGCAGTTTCGGAGGAGTTTTGTTACAAACAATGTACACGAGGATTTTATATGTAAGATTTGTCTTTATTTAGATTTGTGGATTTCATCTGTTTGAATACTAGCACAGATAATATAATATTACATAGTACTAGTATATAGTTTAGTAGGATGGAGCCAGTTTCTCTCCTGCCTGTTTTTAGATGCGATAGCTCTCTGTAAACTAAAAAAGCAATACTTTTAACAGTGTGTCATTTAAGTATACATCTTCTTACTTTTAATAGGCGTCTGTCAGTGATTACTTATTTGTAAATACACTGTATTACAGTAATAACAAAAATTCCCATAAATAATACCCAATCCTCCCAACATTCGGTCGTTCAGTCATCAGT